AGAGACATCCCAGGACCAAGACTGGAAGAAAGGGGACAGTTAGTGTTATATGACTCCCTGAATGCCAGGCTAGTAGTTGCATGCATCCTATGGAACAACGGAATTGACTTTTCTGGCCAGTATGTTATTGCATGGCATAAAAGCTCTCTGCCTCCAATCCAAAACAAGGTCTATCCCTCCTCCCGTTCCTCCCTGCTCTTCTCAGTTGCCTCACCTCACTGCATACTCCCTTTAGGCTTGACTAAAACCCATCTGTGGAAGATGGGAGTTGTTAGGATCAGGTCTTCACAATGTTTGCTGTACAGGGCAGTGCACCATATAAATATTAAGGTATTAGATCAGGAAGTGAAGTCCCCTCTCCTGCTTGGTCCCATAATCTGCACAGAAGTATGCTTGCTCCAAATGAGAGAAATACGGCTTCAGAAATACCACCTCTGTGCAATACATGAGACAAAGGAAAAGTTTTGTTCCAGCCACATTTGAAGCTAATTACAGGAAGCTGCAATTCCAAGGAAAAAGGATTTCACCAAATTCTAGCAATAACAGATGTCCATAAATGAACTGCAGATAAGCTAGAAGCCTGCACAGCACTCTGGCACAAAATTCATGGAACAGAGGAGACCTGGCAAGCACTTTTGTCTGTAGAAATCTCCCACAATCAGTCAGTGTCCAACAGCAGCTGGACAACCCAGATTTCCTACTCCATCCACTGTGTCCATGCAAATCCTAGGAAGTGACTTGGACAGAGTACACTGTTTCAAGGAGCTGAGCAGGAGAAGAGGGGAAAGGTCTCTGTGTTACTCAGACCAAAGGCAGCCCATCTAATTAATTAGTACACAGACCAACAAGCAGAGCCTTTTATGCAACCCTACTTGGTAAGAATTAGGGAAAAGGTACAAGATTCTTCTAGATTCATTCTCCTCCCTTCTGTGCAATTTCAACTCACAAGCGAAGCATTTCTTAAATACCTTATCACTGAACTTCCTCCTACACATTTTTAAGACTCCCAGAGCACTGTTTCAACACTAACGTGGTGAAAAAACAAATCTGGAGCTAAAAGCAGATTTGGCATCTGAAGCAGATTCACATCAATCAGCTCACCTCCACCGCTGTTCCAAAGATGGAGATGCCTGGCTCATTCTCCGTGAAAATGCAACCCTCTTCCTTTCTTGAAGGATGTGCTACCTCCTTCCTCTTGCTACCTACCTCACTCTGTCTGAGATGTGCCATGCATGCTTATACAAAATTACAAACTGCTTGCTATTTCTCAAAATTCTTCTTCCTTCCACAAAGCTACCACCATCATTGGAGAAGCAACCAGTTTGGGATATTTGGGATAGCTGATTCATCAGCCCTACACCCCTAGCAGCACCTTGCCTTTGAGTAACTGGCACCACAGTTTTAACAAAGAACAAGAAAGAGCTCTGCCAAATGTTACTGCACACACAGATGAACAGACCTTAGTATTTCTGCAGATAAGTACCTACCAAATTCAAGGTGTGGCTAGCAGTGATTGCCAGCAACCAGCTCTTAGTTCTATGTAATCAGGGCCTAGAAGACTGTTCCCAATTAATCCTGTGAAAGTTATCATCCAAGTTAGCCAATACTGCAAAGAAAGGAGCATTCCTCTTTCTGCACTGGATGGCACCTCTGAAAAGTGAGGCTGAGGGACACTGGAGCTAGTTTATGAATAAAAGGGTTTTGGACCTCCAGTTTCAGGACTTGCACTCTGGGCCCATAGCACAATTTTAACTGTGGCGATGCACTGAAAGCTGAAGGAACTTCCCTACATTATATGCAAAGCCCTTCCCTGTGTTTACTCTTCTGGAAACTGGAGACAAGCCCTTGTCTTGTGCAAGTAGATGAAATAGTAATTTCTTTTTCTCTCCAGTGGAAGGCAAAGGATTCAAATCCAAGATTGCGTTTCTCACACTACAGCTGCTTTCAGAAGCAGTCAAGTGATTCTTGTCCTGGTAAGACAGAGGAGAAGAACCCCAGCTAGTGCTAACAGAGAAGAGACTGCTTCCCACTATGGATTTCACAGGACGAAAATTCACCCAAAGAAGTATTTTTCTCCTCCTACTCAGAAAATAAGGTATAGAGAAAGAAGCCACGGAGAAGGATCTCTTCACCTGGGTCACTGACAGAGCACCCAGTCCCTTTGAGACAGAGTTTGGCATAACATAAGCACACAGCCTGCTCTGCAGTGTGACCTTCCTAGGTCATACTGCATCAGTATCGAAACATCAGGATTGAGAGAACGGTGAGCTGCCGAAGTAGAATGTCGGTACACATGGATGCTGAGGTTTGAATTAAGAACAACTCAAACTTCTGTGCAGAACATCTTGTTTGTACCCTGTGTATGGAGCTGCCTGGTAAAGCCAGAGGGAGGGAAGAGGAGGCAGAGCAGAGCTATTTCTCATCCCTCAGTGTGGTGTGAGCCACTAAGGTGGTTTCCTTAGCATAACTAGGAACACCAACTCAGTTGTCTTGGCTCCAAAGACTTTCCATCATATACGCAGACTGATCTATGCTTCTAAAATCACAATGCTCCTCTGAAATTAAGCACTCCTTGCTGAGCTAATCTTTTACATGGATTTCTCAAGCAATGCTTGCTTATCGTTTCTCTGGACTATCTAAGGAGACACAGGTCTTGATCTTTCTCTGGATAGCCCAAACTAAGAGAACAGAGACAACAGAAGGTGCAGTCATTAGAGATATGGAAATGTTCCTGGGCAGGCAAGTCCCAGCTGCTAATTCATGTTAGGGGGACTCTACCTGCATGTTAAAGGAAGAGGGAACAGGGATCAGACTGTATGGGGTATCCCTGAGCTCCAAACCACACGAGGGAAGAGAGAGGAAAAAGGAAATGAAGGACAGAGACACTTGTATTCTTAAAAATGAAGACTAGGGATTAGGAATCATCCTGGCTTGATGATCTCCTCTTTCAATCCTTGCATGCAAGGAAGGAGCAAAGGTGGGCTGTGACTCTTTCTGGTTGGCTCTTGTTCCAGAGAGGGGCCCCTCTATGGAAGCTGTGCCAGCTGGAGCAGGGGGATGCTCCTTGCAACAGTTGGGGTCAGGATGGCTGCCTCTTGCTGCAGCACTGAGTTCTGGGCAAAGACACCTCTGGAAATTCAGACTCCATGGTGGTTTCCTCTGCTACCGAGAGGAGGCTGCTGGCTCCCTAGTGGGATGTGAAAAGGCAGAAGTGTTCATAGAACGCTAAATAGGGGGAAGGAACAATATAACTTTCCCCTCAGCCCTGCAGCTAGTTGCTCTGGCTACTGCAGCTTCCTTTGAGGGGCCCTGCCTCTCCAGAGCTGCCACAGGACTGCAAAATGGGACTCTGTTTCAGACTGACAGTGATGCAGTGGCAAATCCCCAAGCAAACAGAATTTGTTAAAGTCCATAGGCACTTATCCTTCAGAAGGAGAATGTTAAGACTTAAAGCCTTCCCTGTGCACAGTGCCACCACAACCCAGCTTCTGGTGCACTCACGTTGCACACTGGACAAATAGTACGTTGTATGAATGGTACGTTGGCTGAGGGCGGCTCCTTGCACAGGGACAGAGCTTCATCCTCAAACACATCGCAAAGAGGAGGGTGGGCTTTCCTGATCTTCGCACACAAAGGGTGGAAAAGAACCAACTCTGATGGGTGAACAAAACTGGGATTGCTGGGGGACAAGCCTTCTCCTTATACCCTGTTTCCATTATGGCTCAATTATTGATGGCAGCAATGTATGTTCACAGTTGAAAGCCTGCTGGCAGCTGTCAGGATTGCAGATGAGCATCAATAAAAGCAAGGGGCTTTTAGTGCTGAGAGAGGGCGGTTTCTTTCATGTTGGCTAGATTAGAAGATCACCCCAGGTCTTCCCCCTTCCCTTTCCAGTACATAAAATCCCCGACAGTAGATCTTTAGGCACACTTGTCTTAACCCTAGCTCCAGTTCTCTTTCTTGAAAGCAAGTTCCACAGCATCATTCACATCCTGCACTATGTAAGATGCCTCCACCAGGCTGGGGTCAAAGCAGAAGTCCCGATGGCCGTGGAACACTGTCTCCATCATGCACTCCTCTGTTTTACTGGGAACATCTGCATTGTGGCGGTAGACCCCAGTGCAGACCAGAATCGACTCGCAACTCTCCACTGAACTGTTGCAGTCCTTCCTCAGCTCGAGGTGATCTGCAGTTTGGGGACTGGCTTGCTGCGGGCTCCTCTTCAGTCCAGCCTGGGCCTGGTTCTGGTGAGCTGACTTGAGGTAGTTGTTGTAGAGGTTTGCCCCATAGATATCAGACATAGGGTTATCCCTGAATAAGGTCACAATGTGAAACAGAAATGAGAAACTAGCCCATGCATCAATTTCTGGCTCTGGCAGACTGGGATTAAGCAGCACTGAAGGAGGAAGGGGCAAAAGGTATTTGCTAACATAAAGAGAACTACCCAGGCTGGGCCAGTGAGTCTACCTACTGGTGTGGCCTGTTCAGCTGTGATGAACACCACACACTTCACAAACATCTTTCAAAGAGGAAAAAACACATCCAAAGCACCCATAGCAGTTTCAGCTATTACTGTAATGTATTCCCTATGATCCCAAAGTGTTTGGCCTAACTGGGCTAATGGTACTACATCTAGGTCTCTTAAATTTTTCTTTAATCCAGTCATGCTACATGCACTCTGCATCCTGCAGTGAACAGCTTTGCTAGGCTGACAGGGCCCTTCAAATTATTAAAAATGTAGGGTGCAAAAAGCTAGTAAGCCTCTGTTCCAGGATGTGAGGCTCCAGAGACACCATGGGGATTTTGGTATTAATTTTAGAAATATCCATTAAAAAAAAAAACACGCAACACTTAAGAGAAGTCAGTATGCAACTCCCTGAGGAAACTAGCAGGAAAAACAGTCTCTTACCCAACTGCATAGAGGCGTCGGATGGGAGACTTCCAGCCCTGTTTCTCTGCCTGCTGTTTTATCAAGTATTCGGCATAGCGGTAGGTGACTGTGCTGGGTTTGCCAATCAAGGCCTCGTACTTCAGTTCCCGGCCTGTCACTTTCTTGTAGATGGTCTCCAAGCAGAGAAGGAAAGTCCCATGGCCAAACCTGCTCCAGAAAGGAGGTCATCAGTATCCCCAGTCACATCACTTACGTAGCAAACACTCCTCAGTGAGGAGGACCCTCTGCTGTAGCCAGGCTATCGCCTAGTGTGGACACGGTACCACGCACACCTCCACAGGCAGTGGTCTGGCTTTTGCTTCTTGAAAGTTTTAGTCTCTGTTTCTCATGCAGTTTTCATATCTCTGCTGCTAATTATGCCATACAGTCAAACTCTAAAACAGTCAAATGCTAAAAATAATGTAATAAGAAATTATCATCTGCAGGAGAGACGTATGAAATAGGGTAAAAAAAAATACCACATATGCTTTTCACCTGGGAATCTTGGCTTCGGCCATCCACAGGAGATCCATGTTGCAGGCAAGGACAGGCAGATGGGGGTATGGTATATCTTGCAGCTCTGCCCCAGGGTTCCCATCACTCAAGAGTACATCAATAATAAGTTGTAGGCTTGTCTCCCACCTCACTGGCTCACCGAACAGAATCACCCCTGCAAGATTTCAAGAGATGCTCGGAAACTCACAGCATCCAAGTATAGGACCCACTACCCACTAGCAAAAACACTCCTCTGGTTGGAATGCCCTGGCTAATACAGCTACCGCTGGAACATGGCTAGTGCCAGGGCTCCAGTCTGCACATCACTGCACCATTGGTCCCAGATATTGGAGCATGGCACAGAGAAAACTTGGCTTTGCTCTTATTAAGCTTGTGCTTCACACTGCATGAGGGCAGTGAAGCTGTGTTCTGACTGTATCCTCTGAATAAGCTGCCTGTGGACACCAATGAGCCAACAGCACATCATTAGCTCCCAGACCAGCTGGCTTACCTTGCTGTTATTTCTGCTTACTGTTCATATTTAAACAAAGGCTATTGCTTACCTTCTATAGTGGGGAAGCCAGTGGCTGGAGGAGGCTGCCAGAAAAAAACAAAGGCTGGGTTAGTAATGCAAAACTGAATGTTGTCTCCAAAACAAAACTAAAAACACTTCCTTTGAACCTGCCAAGGCACTCCCATAAAGAGGCAGGATAAGGCCACCTGGAATCTCAAAGGAAGATTTCCCCCACTCCCCCATCACAGACTGGATTTCACAGATCTTGCGTTCCTGTCTCAGTGGTGGAGATGTCAACCAAACCATCTTACCACTCACTGCGAGGAACAGCAACAGAAGACAGACATGGCATGAGAAAGTGGAGGGGAAAGTCCCTGCCCTTCCTGCAGGAGCCAATGATAGGAAGAGCAGAGACCCGCTGGCTGATCAGTACTAGTTCCAGGCTCTCACTAAAGAAAGTCATTAGCAACCAGCTGCTCTGTGCCTTTGCAGCTTCTCCACCCCACAATATACGCTGTAAGCACCACCACACTGCACCACCCATTCTACTGATGCATCAGGAAATTACCATCTCCTTTGGCCTCCGGCTCTGATCTACCATGTCTAACAGGGGATATGCCTTCCTCAGTGTCTCTATGGTGACCACATGCTTGAACCCCAGGCTATTTCAGACCATCAAGGAAAGTTGTGGAGACTGTTGTTGGGTTTTTTTTAAGTTACTTGCAAAAGCATCTACAGGATTAAGGAATAAAAGTCCTAGTAACAGAGCAGTTATTTAACCTGGTAATGCACAACCTCATGGTTTTCAGTCAAATTATATGTTCTGCTTCAACCTACAGGTGGCCCTAAAGGTTACAGAAAAAAACAGACTGGGGTGATTTCACTTGTGATCAGCAATCCCTGTAATTAGGCAAAGAGCAAATGCCACTCCAAGACAGAATAGATGTGCTTTGAGAGACTGTGCTTTGGTGCAGCGCAGAGGGCTGGTCAGGCTTCTTGGCTAGAAGCAGAAGCCACGAAGCTCTGGTCAGTTCAGCTGGTGAAAAGAAAATGGTCTGTGCTGATAAAATTATGGAAGTGAAGGATGAGTTGCATCTGTTCACAGAACACCTTGCCCGTAACTCACTCTACTGGCCTTGGGAAAACAGAGAGGCCAAGGTTTTCCACCAAATGAAGTTAAATGTTAAGTACATGGTGTGACTCTGTGTGTACAAGCTGAGATGTCACAAACCCTGCAGGCCGTTCTTATCTCCTTGCAGACATGGGATATGTCAGACCTCAGCCAGGCAATCTGCACGTGGGATTGTCATTTAGACCATGTCCCTGTACTGGGATGCTTTGACTCGAATGATATTTGAGTTCCTTCAATTCAGCTGTCAGATTCCTGGGGAAAACCTTAGCTGTGGGAGAGTCAGGAGTGATCTCTAACATACTTTGCCATGAAAGAATGGGAGGAGCACAATTTTATCTCAAAAGTGAGAAAGGTGCAAAGCTGATGGAGTCCTCATGGTGACATCCCACCAACAGGAACAGCAATCACAGGATAGCTAATTAGCGCAAGAAGCCAAACACAGAACAAGGACAGCCAGGGGGTGACCAAGATGGAGATCAACAGTTAGTGCCTCCATTTCAGCCTCACCATGAGGGTGTCTCCCCATAAGATGAGACCAGTAACCTTTTTATCTGCTTGCGCTTCTGCAAGCTGATGGAGCAAGTGCCTGGGGTAGGGGCTGGGCAGAAGCAGCAGCGTTTAGCTGGGAAGCTGCAGCAGGGCATGCAGGGTGCTGCGAGGCAGGCACAGCAAAGGATACTTCTGGGCGTTCTCCTCCACAGGCCCCTGCCCGGCCACCAGCATGCACTTGTGGTGGAACTGGCTGAAGAGCCTCAGGGGGCTGTGGGACAGGATCACCTGCTCCGGAGACACCTGTGGGAGGGAGGAGAGGCTGATGGGGGGGATCCGCGGGGAAGATTTCCCAACTTTCTCCCTGCGGTCCGGTCGCATCCCTTCCCCACGCTGCCACCCGCCTCCCTCTGTCCCCCCAGAACGAGGCTGGGCCGGTCACACAGTAGCGCGGTCACCCCCAGCCCTTCACCCCTCCCGGGGAGGTCGCGCTGGGTGCGCTCCCTCCTCCTCCTCCCGGTGCTCCCCTCCAAAGCGGGACGCCTGAACGGGGG